TGTACTCTTGTCTCCAGCTCTTCCCTTCTGTCTTTCCTTCCTGGCTGCCATGGGCTGAGCACTTTTCACTTTCTTTTTGGTACCAGGAATTGAACTCAGGACCTTGTGCTTGTCAGGCAGGCACTTGTGCCACTGACCTATATCCCTGGTCCGAGTATTTATTTATTTATTTTTTTGCCATTCCCTCTGCCATCCTGTTTCTGCCTTTGGAGCCATTCATATGAAACTGTGAGCCAAAATAAACCTCTCCTTTAAATCGGGTATTTTGTCCCAGCAATAAGAAAGTCACTAAGACACTGGGAATGTGAACAGCTCCACTGAATTAGCTCACTGAAGGTTAAGGGCAGGGCTGTGAGTTGATTGGTTTACATTTGAAAGGTCCTGTTCTGGCCGTGTTCTTTACTATCTCTTGGATGTAGCTGACTGTCTTAGTCGCTTTTCTCCTTGCTGAGACAAAATACCCAACACCCACAAGTTAAGGAAGGAAAGGTTTATTTAGCTCACAGTTTGTACAGGTTTTGCAAGAGCAAGCAGAAACACCGAAATGACACCAAGGATTTGGAGGCAGATTTATTTCTGTTGACAGGGACTGACTGAGATCATTCCCAGAATATCAGGCCCCAATCTTTGGTGGTCTAGGGCTTTTATATGATCCGCAAACAAGAGGTACAAAGGAAGTACCAAGGTGAGACAGAACAGCCTGGCTGTTCTGATTAGCCAGTGGGGTGAGACATCAGTTGCAAGGGTAGATTAATGATCATCCATTTATGAAGCTTGGTGCAGTGGTACAATCAGGCATCCTGCATGTTCAGTTATGCTCTCGTGGTCACAGGGGTCAAGAAAGCAACTCCAAAGCCCTGAAACAGTTACAGAACTAGGCAGTTTCAAAAGGACAAAGTTTTAACAAGAGCAGTTTCTACATTTTTTCCTTTTCATTTCCAGTCTATAATTGGCTGTCCAAGGCAGGGTGCCACATGGCAGAGAGGCAAAAGTTCATGGCAGCAGAAGACAGCAAAAGCAACAAGAAAGACAGCAAGACAAACCTCTTTCTATCTCTTACATTGTATCCCGTCTACTGGGATTAGGATGATGCCAAACCAATCAGTGTACTGATCCAGCAATCACCCACTCTCAATCCCAGCGTTGCGCAACAAATCTATCACACACTCTAGATTCAGCCACCTCCAAAAAAATAATAGGATTGCATGAGGCTTTGGGGGGACATCTAGACACAAACCATAACACTGACCTTGGGAGGCACAACCTTTTTGGGGTCAGAAAGCCTCCAGGATATCAAAGCATCAGAATATAGAGAATAAAAGATGTAGTTAATATACACAAACATTTGCCATTTTCACACTTCTCAATCTTCTTTGATGATGCTCTTGCCTCACAAAGAGCTATAAATGTCAGAAGACTCATTGTCTCAGTTCTTGCATATTTTCTCTTCCCTCTCCCTCTAGGTGATACCAAGCAGTCCCATGACTTTAAATAATGACACTATGACTCCAACATTTATATCTCTACCTCAAACTTTGAACAACTTGTTATTCAACTGCCTTTTAAGCACCTTCACTTGGAGATCTAATAGGCACTTTAAATATGCACCAAACACAAGTATTAGTGTCTCTTCTCTAATCTTCTTCTTCCTCAGCCCTCTGTCAGTTTTCATAAATAGTTCCTCAAGTTCCCTAATGACTTAAACCTCAATCCCAGAGTTTTCCTGTATTTCTGTATTTTTTTCCTCAAACTGCATATTCAAGCAGCCAACAATTCTCTTCAGGTCTTCTTTCAAAATGTCTAAGATCTAAGACAATGGGAGTGTTAAGTAAATGGAAAAGCATGCTATCTTCATGGATTGGAAGATTTAATATTATTAAGATAGCTATAGTCCCCAAATGGATCTACAGATTTAATGTTATTTCTACCGGAGTTCTAGCTTCTTTTTCCTCCCCACGCGAGCAAGTTTCAAAAGAACAGAGTTTTAAACAGAACAATTTCTCTTGTACAGTTTTTTCCTTTTCATTTCCAGTCCGTAATTGGCTGGCTCCAGGGCAGGATGCCACATGGCAGAGGGGCAAAATTTCATGGCAGCAGAAGATTGACAAGCCCATGCAAACAGTCATAGGTGAGGGAGCCAGAATGGCCAAAAACAAAGCAACAACTTCGAAAAGAAGAGCTAAGTTGAAGGACTCAGACTCCCCATTGTTAGAGCTTTCTATAAAGTGACAGTAATTGAAACTGTGTGGTATTGACTGACATAGAACAGATATAAAGTTCAGTGAAAGAGAATTATAATCCCAGAAATAAACCCACATATCCATGACCAAGAGATTTTTTTGTAAGAGTACCAAGACAATTCAATAAAGAATGAATTTTTTCAATAAATTATAAAAGCACAGGTGGTTATCCATGTGCAAAAGAATAAATTTAGAGCCTTATATCATCTATAAAAATTAACTCAAAATGAATCAGAGATTGAAATATAAAAACTAAAACATATTTATTTCCTAGGCAGTGGTTTCTTTGATATGACACCTAAACCATGAGAAATAAAGGAAAAAATAGAGAATTTGAACCATATCAAAATTTAATTTATGCTTAAAATTAAATTTAAGTTGAAATATTTGCGCTTTGAAGAATGCTATCAAGAAATTGAAAACACAATGCATTGAATGGGTGAAAGTATTTGCACATCTTATATTTTATAAAACACCCTGGTATTTCCTCAATAACTTTCAGAGTTACTATTTGAGCCAGTAATTCTACACCTACTTGTATTCTCATTGTGATGAATTAAATAGTGGTCAACCTGTGGCACCCAGCTGAACTGAATCAGGGTGTTTCTGGGGTGGAAGGTCCACCAGAGGATTGTTGCCAGTAACATGAAAGGAGAACTGGAGGGGAAGATGCTAGTGCTGTTGATTCTCCTGGAGAAGGCTTTCATGCTGGTTTTCCTGATGTGAACTCAGCTATTCTCATCATCAGAGGAGCTTGGGTCCTCAATGTCACTGAGGATGGCTGTGGTTCTCTTTGAGGGAGCACTTACCTTGAGTGTCACTTCCTGGCTCCATTATAGGTCCCTCAGCCTGCTGGCACAGATCCTTCACCCCACTAGCACAGATTTTCTAGCTTCCACCACTGATCTTTGGGCCTTTACAGTGCAGATCTTTGATACAGACTTGCACAAGACATTGTCATGGGCTCTTAGCTTCCAGCTGGAATAGTGGAAGACATTCCCATAGGCTCTGGGTCTTCAGCTGGATTCTTTGAGTTTCTAGTGTGTGGATAGATTTCTGGCACTTTTCTGCATTTGACTCTTTAGGTGAATATTATAAAATAATCCTATGAGTTATGTGTCCTGTATTAAATCTATTCCCCTGTAAACTCTGACTACAACAGCCATGATAATTGAAAGCATTCATACACAAATACTTGTACATGAGTATTTGTAGAAGCAATATTCATAATAGCTAGCAAATGGAAACAACTCAAAAACCTATCAAATGATGAAGAGTGGTTAAGCAAAATATGGTTTATTATACACTGCAATATTATACAGACACAAGAAGGAAGGAATGATTGGTATGTGCTATAACACAGGTAAATTTTGACACTATGCTCAATGAAAGCAGCCAGTCACAAAAGACAATACTCCTTAAGATTCTATTTGTATGAACTGTCCAGCATAAGGAATTCATAGAGATAGAAAACAGGTTAGTGATTGTCAGGGGCTGGAGAGAGAGGGAAAAGGAGATGGGGAGTTTCTTTTAATTGATATGGTTCTTTTAGGGGGTAAAGAAAATGTTCCAAAATTAGACAGTGGTGTTAGTTGCACAATTGTGTGAATACACTGAAAATTACTGAATTGTACACTTTTTAAAAGTCTATATTAAAAACACACACAGATAACCCTCTTTTGTATGTCAAAGTCTACTTCAATAAAACTGTGGAATTTTTGTTAAATAAGTGTAAATGACAATAAAAATGTAAAGCCACAACAGACCACCTGTTTACTAGCCCAACCACATTAATCCAAGCTATCATCATGTATACAGGCATTCTTAACTGATCTTTCTGCTTCTCCTCTATTCTTTCTAGCTACCAATGAGTGAAGTTCTGTCATTCTCCTGATCCAAATCCACCACTGGCTTTCCATCACACTCAGAGCACCTCTGAGTTACCTGACTTAGAGGTACCACTCCAACAGATTTCCCTTGAGAAATAGTCCCCTGGCTCATAAAAGTTTCCAAGCCCCTTTTCAAGACAGTGTCATACCCTATCTCTTTCTCCTTCAACCACGACCATTCTGTGGGTGGAGAAAACCTGAGATCAAGAGTTGAAGCACAGTGGGAGAAGCAGGACCAAGGTGGTGCACCCTCCACCAGAGCCTGCTTCCACACAAAGATGTCTGCCTTCCACATCTGAAGTTCTCAGAAGAGGTAGGTCGGGTGATGGGCACACTTGACTGGAGCCCTCAAGAGAGCTTGGCTACTTTACTTCTCAGTCAATGAGCAAGTACTATATTTGTTGAGAATATGGCTGTGTTCTACTGAGCCCTGTTCTCAAGTGTCTGACTCCTCAATTTCTGGCCCAGCTAAGAAGTTGGTGTACACTATTCATTTGACAAACAAGGTCAGTGTTCCAGTGTGCCTGCTTTGAAGTAATTGTGGAAAGCTTCATGGAAGACACAAAGAGGTACAGATAACCACCAGTGTGAACAACCCCTGAGGATGTGTTCATCTTCAGAAAAGGCCACCAGAAAAGGAACAGGAGCTCGTCTGGATTTAGAAAGAATCCTGTATTTCCCCTAACATCCCTCTCCTCCAGATAGTCAGTCTTTTCTTTCCAGCCCCATCCCTCCACTGTCTACTGTCTTCCACAAAAGATGTGTCATTATGCTCTTCTCAGAAGTGAGCCAACCACCACATCATGGGGCCCAGAAGAGCTGCATTGAATCTGAGCTCTGTCCATTAGCTATTTCAGATCAAGTACAAAACATGTTCCTCGTCCTGCTGGTATTGAGCCTGAGATTGTATCTGGTAAGAAAGGACAGGGGAAGTTCCTGCACAAGCGATTCAGGAGATAGCTTCTAGCTAAAGCCTATGAGACTGTGGTTGTTGGGCTGGTGGCTTTCTTTGAGAGGAAGTACGATTACTAGCTCTTATAAGCCCCACAGAAAGGATGGTTCCCAGAGCAGCTTGTGCTTTCCAGTACCTTCCAATCTTTTAAAAACAGGGATTGAGAATACTGATCCATATATCACCATTAACCCAAGACAGTCTCTGCTCCAGAATAACCTCAGACATCACCATGATCATGTGCGCCACACCATTCCTGCTTTCCATCCATCTTTGAAGGATGAAGAGAGATGGAGACATTAATGAGAGAAAGATATGATAAGGCATAAAATATATATGTATTACCCCTTACATTGTCTTGAGGATGTGATTAAGGTGATGTCTGAGGTTACCCTGGGTCATCCCACTTGCCCCGTCTTCTGCTACTTCTGCTGACTGCTGAGATATACAAAGGAGAGAAATCAGTAATGTCTCCAGGCAGTCCCCATACAGGGAGCAGAACATGAGCCAGATGCAGAGTGGGATTCTGTCCCAAGCTGGGAGTCTGGCAGAATGCGGCCATGTAAAGCAATTCTCCAGCCCTCTCTCACCTCAAGCACATAGTATAAGAAGTCTGAAAAATTTAAACTTCTGTTGTTAAATGGAAAAAAAAGTATAAAATTAGCTTAAAGAGGAAGCTATCTTGGGAGCCGATGCAAATGATTTGTTATGTGTTTCCTGGAGATGTGACAGGTGCCGACTCTCACTGATGCCTGGTTGCAAATAAAATGCAAAGTTGTCCCCAGAATTTTCAAAAAACCTCTAGCAAGTTAACTGCTTGCACCTGGCTAGTGGACTAGCATGTATGATTGTTTGTGTGTGTGCTTTTGCCTAATTCTTTGCCCTTTTGCTTAGGTTAAGAGCCCCACATTGAGGAGGAAAATTGCTGTCTACCTTATTTCATAGTTGTGGAAACTTTCTAACATTCTCCTTTCATAACTTCAGAAGTTGAATGCTAGACTGAAGTTTAATAGGCATGGTACCTGAAATAGAAAACATTTTTCCTTAACATAAAGCTAAAGTGCATACCTATCTTATTCATGGTTGTGATATACACACGCCAGTAGAAATATAGTCAGAGCAATACAATTATTAAGAAGAAACACAGAGATGAATGTGCATTGAAGACTCAGAGATGAATTTGAATTCCAATTCCATAGCCACACTCGCTGATCTTGAACAAGTTGAGTCACCTTGAAAGTCCTCATTTTCCTCATCTGTAAAATATGGATAGCAACTCCCCTTCTAAAGAACTGTTGGAAGAATCAAGTGAGATGATGAAAGAAGAGTTTAACTCAGTGTCTGGATCATCATAAGTGTTTCAGAAATGTTAATTATTACCGCATTCCCCAACAACAAGCCCAATGCAGACTAGGGTTATAACACTGCTTGTCAGACATTAATACTCATGTGAATCACCCAAACCTGGTTACAGTGCAGCTCCTGATTGTCTAGGTTTGGTCGGGGGAGCAGCCATGATATTCTCAACTTCTAACCAGCTCCCAGGTGAAGCTAAGGAGAACATTTTGAGGGCAAGATGACAAAATGTGTTTGCATGTGCAGGTGTTTTGTTTCTCAGTACTGTGTGCACGTTAAAAGTTGCCAGGAAAAATGTTCTTTAAAAACTGATGCTGAGAGCTGGGCGTGGTGGCGCACGCCTTTAATCCCGGCAGTCGGGAGGCTGAGGCAGGAGGATTGTCACGAATTCGAGGCCAGCCTGGGCCACAAAGTGAGCTCTAGGCCGGCCTGAACTGCATAGTGAGACCCTGTCTCAAAAAAAGAAAACAAAAAAAGAAAAAAGAGAAACAGCCAAAAACTGATGCTGGCTCCACCACTGAGGGAATTTGATTTTAAAGACATCAGTGTGAACCATGCTTGGTGGAGCCTGCCTGTAATCCCAACTCTGAAAGCCTTAGTCAGGAAGATTGGAAGTTCAAGCCTAGCTTTAGAAACAACTTAAGAGACCCTGTTTCAAAATTGAAAAACTAAAAAGGTGGGGAGGAGTGCTGGAGATGTAACCCAATGCAAAGGCCCTGGGTTTATTATCTAGTTCTGAAAAACTGTCAAAATGGGTTCTGGGGATTAGCGTATTTTTAAAAAGCCTATGTTCTGGTTTGGGATGTGGTTTGTCTCAGGAGTTCACGCGCTGGTGGCTTGCTGTCCACTGCGGTGGAGCTGAGGTGGTGGAAATGTTAAGAGGTAGGGGCTGTTAGTAGAACGGAGACAGGTGCCTGGGGCACCATCTTCATGAAGGGATTGAACCTGTCTCTCCAGACTGGGTTGTTAAGTGAGCTGGAGCTCACAGCTCTTCTGCACACGGCTGGTTCCCTTTCTACTTCTCCAGTATGTCGCAACACTGCCAAGGGGCCCTCACCAGGACACCGGTGCCATGACGGTTGGATCCTCCAGACACCAGAACGATGTTCCTCTTTAGAAAGTAAACATCCTTTGGCATTTTGTTAAAACAACTTTGAATAGATGAAGACAGCCTCCCATGTGATTCCAAGGGCGAGGCCCTCTGCTGTGATTCTAATGTGCAACCAGGCTTGAGAAAAACCACTTCACTGAATTGTTTGCAAGTGTTTGAATTTCCTCTGTAATTTAAAAAAGGTAGCTGGGCATGGTGGTGCATGCCTATAATCCCAGCACCCAGGAGGCTGAGACAGGAGAATTGTTGCAAGTTTGAGACCAGCCTGGGCTACAAGGTGAGCTCAAGCCCAGCCCTAACTGCATAGTGAGACCCTGTCTCAAAAGATAAAAAAGGTAAGAATGTCTTAGGAGTTGACAAGTGTTTTTGCATGTCCTCAAACCTTTATCTTACATGGGGTAATCAAACTCAAAGCTTTTCATGTATTAGAAGCTTTAATTGGGACAAAATTATACCACGTAACAATTGTCAGTTATTCTGAGGTACTCAGGTACATGATCTGTGTTTGCTAATTATTTCCTCTTGAGAATATTAGCCAAAACATGTCACTTGTCTTAGAGATATCATATTTTACGTCCACGGCCCCTCACATTTACAGTGTAGCAGGCAGAGGGGGAAAGTGAGAAGTAAACATATATTTATAAAAGGCTTGGGGAGCAGAGGGGAGTTCTGCAATGTGCTACGGGGAGTTCCAGAGGAAGTCGCAGTGGAGCCCTTTCTTATGAGAAGAAAGCACAGTGCAGTAAATAGATTTGCTAAATAAATCCAATAGAGTTTAAACCCAAACTATCCAGTTCTTGTTGCTCAGACACAACAGCTATCCCTCCTCTCATGCCCCAATTCCTTCCTTGTTTCTTGTTTTATCATGTGTAATAAAAGAAGTCCTACGAGAAGAGTAAACATAGTAAGTTCCTGAACCTAGCACAGAGAAGACAGTGAATGCATTTTTGATGAATGAATAAGTAAATATGATCCTTCTGGGGCACAGTAGATCTGGCACCAGGCATCTCCGCTGAGAGATGGTTCACATCCTAGAGGGATCTACCCTTAAAAGAGTCCCATTATGAAGGCTGCTCCCAGTATTTGAGACCCTATTATTATAAGTGTGTGGTAGACTCCACAAAATGGAATCATATGCGAAACCCTGAAGCTCCACGTCCCTTTGCACCCCAGGGTCTTCATAACTTGGCTCAGCAAGCGCAGGTGCATTCACATGGAAGCACTTAGCTTCCAGACCTGCCCTGGTCCTGCCCCACACAAAAGCCTGCTCGATATGTGTAAACTCTCCTCTCTGGACCACAGATCTCAGTAGAAAGGACAGGAATTGAAGGGAATCTAGAAACCTCACAGTCAGGGCTGGGGATTTAGCTCAGCGGCACAGCACCTGCCTGGCAAGCACGAGGTCCTGAGTTCGATTCCCAGTACCAGAAAAAAAAACAACAACAACAGAAAAAGGTTGTGTAATTATCAAAGTAGAAACCTCACAGTCATTTTCTTCTTTTTTTAAAATTAAGTTTATTGGTACATTTTACGTATACGTAATAATCACATTTGTCATAGGGAATCTGTACCTGTGCAAAGTATGTCTTGGTACTTTTTCCCCATTTCCCTACCCTCCATTCAGCTCCTCTTCTTCTTATTTACACAATCTTTGTTTCTATTTCTTCTTTTCTCATTTTTTTCTTTTCCCTTCCTTCCCTCATCCCCCAGCTCCCCTTCCCATTTGAATATTTTCTTTCTAGTTCACAATAGCCATTTCTTTCTATTTCAAAATATCTATATCTTTTGGTCCATATTTACACTTTCAGTTTCTCACACTACAGAAACAATGTGGTATTTGCATGTGTGTCCAATTTATGTCACTTAAGAGTATGGTCTCAAGGTGCATCCATTTATCTAGAAATGTCTCAGGTTTACCCTTCTTTGTGGCAAAGTAGTATTCCATTGTATAAAAAAAATCTTTATTCATTACTGATGGGCATCTGGGCTATTTCCAAGATTTAGCAATTGTACAAACTGTGCTGCTATAAACATGGGTGTGCATATGTTGCAGTGGTATGGTGCTTTTAATTCTTTCAGAAAGATACCAAGGGGAATAGCTGCTCTTAGTCATTTTTGATAAAGCTCATTTGTGTCTGTCACTATCCAGAGTGGATGGAAAGGCCGGTGATCTCTGACAGGGTGAAGTTCAGTGAGAAGGAGCAGTGTCAGGGTTCCGTCTCCCTTCCCTCTCCCCGTCCTCCTCTCTTATTTGCCAGATCCTGAACTGAGACAGTGTGTGCTCGAGAGCATAGGGTTGCAAAGCAAACTCAGCCTGATTATTGCCTTCTGAGACTTGCGGGGTAACGGAAGAAAAATCTTGAATCAGAAGTCAGTTGTAACGGGCATCGTTGAAACAGTGGGAAACCTGAAAGTTGGAATCTGGTCACTGGGAACTGACTGTCCTGGTTAGTAGAACATTATATCTAATAGAGAATGGCCATTTCATATATAGACCACCACTTTCCCACGAATTAAAACATGGCATGAAAGAAAGTTTGCTGAGTGACTACTGGCTGGTAGACCTGGGCATCTTGCCCAGTGTTCCCCACAGTACTCTGAGATAGATACTGACCTCATCTGACAGAAGAGAGGCTGAGATTCATGTTGGTTGAGTGAGGGCTCCCAGCTCCTAATCCTGACACAGTCAAGATTTGAACCCAGGCTCACTTGTGACTAAATCCTATGCTCTTCCCCTACCATGTTTATACTGAAATGACTCTTCAAATAGTGACCATTTACAAACTGCCAAATATTTTTTAATGAAAGATTTGATTGAATAAATTAATGAATGCATGAAGCAAGTGCTACTGAGCACAGTTTGGTCTAACCTGTGATGATTCAGAAACTACTTCCAGATCTTTCTATACCTTCATCAAAATGAATACTCATTTGTAACAATAAAAGCAACATAATTTAGTACAGCTTCTCATACTGGGCATGGAAACCCTGTCTTTACAAGTTCTACCATATTTCACCACTACTTATGCTACTATTTTTACAAAATTATTTAGATCAACTCAGCTTTTTATTTTTTAACAAAATAAATACTCTATATAGATGGAAAACCAGTATTACTTGTACTAGTAAGATGTAGGACAGGAACAAAATGAAGTAAAATGAAAATAAATCAACTTTTATTAAATTCTACCTGGATACTACTTACCTGACTGGACTCTTTCTGTTTTATTAAAGGGAAAAATAGCTGGTGTTACACGCTGCAGATTTATGTAATTGAAGGACTGAAAGAGATTTCACAGGAGGGTGAAGTTCTCTCTAAATAATTCAACTCCCTTCAGGCTTTCATTCTGTCCCATTTAAAATCACTTTACACACTTCCAGTGGTATGTACCTCATATTTTGGGAAATACTGTTTAAGTGGAAACTATAGATTTTGAAGTCAACACTGTCTGGCTCTGAATCTTACCCTTACTAACTAAGTTATTAAAACCAATTTCTTTGAGCCAGTTTCTTCAACTACTGTGTAAAACCTTCATGATAATAAATATTTCAGAGTCTTGCTTTTGGAGTTAAATAATATCCTGTAGTCGTAAAGTGCCTGGCATAGTGCCTAGCACATAGTATATACACATTAAATATTCATTCCATTGTTCCTCTTCCCTTATTGATAGAAATTAGAAAGCATCTACAGCGGGCTTGTATGGCGTTCTGGTTACTAGCACTTGGGACTTACAGAAACTGCTAGTCTGAACTCGGCTATATAGTCTTGGACAAGTTACTAAACTTTTCTGGGCCTCATTTTATTTTCTAAAAAGAGAATAGCGGGACTGCCTGCCTACTTCACTAGCTTCCTCGAGAAGCGAAATGAGGTCATTCATGAGAAGCAGTTGAAAATGACAGAATATTACATGTTTAAAAATTATTTTAATAAAAGACATACTGCCATTAATCCCCCTCAAAATTCTCCCTCTCAGCTTGAACACACTCGTTTCTTGCTATGTTTTGAAGTCTCTCTTCTCTTTTCCATCTTTGGTTGAACAGTTGTGAGTGGTTTGGTGTCCTGAGTTGATTGAAAACATTTACCTTTTCTGGTCATTTTGACTTTGTGTAAGATCCGGAAGTTGCATGGTCCCTAGATGAGGACACACTATGTTTTTACTAGCCTGCTTCTCATTTAGCTGTTACTTAGCAGCACCCTTCACCATATTTTTGAACATGTCTCATAAAAATACTCATGAAAGAGTACTTCCAGGCTGGGCATGGTGGCACATGCCTGTAATCCCAGCACTTGGGAGGCTGAGGCAGAAGGATCATTTTGAGTTCAAGACCAGCCTGGGCTACAAAGTGAGTTCAAGTTCAGCCTGAACTGCATAGTGAGACACTGTCTCAAAAAGACAAAAAAAAAAGAAAGAGTACTTCCAGAACTGCTTCAGAAAGTGGCAATAACAATGGGATAAGTGTGTTCAAAGCAAGTGGGAGTATTTTGAGCATACCTTGTATTAGCAGAGTGTCTAAAGACTTAATAAGTGACAGTTGTTATTCTTCTCAAGGATATTTGCCAGGGAAATGTATAACTTGACCCATATACATGAATAAAAATGGTCTGCATTATAAATTGTGAAAGCAATTTAGTAAAATGGACTCAGACCTCAGTGGCAGAGGAGCTATAGCGAGAGGCTTTGCTCTCCTGTGAGGTGTGATCTGGAATGACTCCGAGCTCTTGGGGAGAGGTGGGAGATGCCATGGGACCAACAGTGCTGCCCTTCATGCTGGGGCGTCCAGGGAGGAGCAGGAGGGCAGTCAGTTGCCCAACTTCAGGGAACTGTTGAGGGGAAAGAACCACCTCAGAGCAATGGACCAAGAATTCCACTCTTGCCCAGCTGAGGTGGGACAAAGGAGAACCTAAGGGAAGGCCCAAATAATGACTGTGATCTCCTGGAAAATGAGGCTGGAATGGGGTCAGCTCCTCCTCTGGAAGAACTGACATGTACAGTTAGACAACAGCGAAGCATCTTTCCTTTTCAGCTTTATTCACAGTGACGGCCCCTAAGGAACGGTACACAGTAGACGGTGGCAGCAATCTGACCCTGGGGTGTGATTTTGACACTATAGGTCAAGTGGAACTTGAATCAATAAAAGGTAGTTTGGAAAAGGTGGAGAGTGTTACATCCTCTTGCAGCGAAAGAGCCGCTCTGCTGCAAAAGCAGCTGGCTCCTGGGGAAGGCTTATCCCACCATTCCGGAGTGCAAGTGAGAGATGCAGGGCGGTACTGTTACAGGGATGACAGCAGGACCTCCAAATATGATATAAGAGAAATATGATGTCTCCCAACCTGTTAGATGTCTGATACGCCGAGTTCGTGTTCTCTAAAAATCGAAGAATGAACTTTAGGAACAACAGAGGTTAAGAGTAAGAAATATTTGAGAGATAGAAAGCTCCTGTTAGAGGGACAGCAGGGGTCCCAAAAGGGTAGCCAGGGATGCCATCCCATGGGGATATTTTATAGAGCAAAACCCATGTGAGTACAATGTGGGTTACAGCTATGACCAACCAATACAATTATAAGTGTAGCTTAGCTGCTTAAGTAATACTGATCCAGTGGGGAAGCAAGTCAGTAGTGAGTGGCCATGGGAAGGTCAAAGAACTTCTCAGGTAGGTGCTGAGCCTGGGGTCTTGGTTGCCCACTGTGGTGACCGATGCCTTTCTAGACCAAGGGTTATCACTAATCTCATGGCTTGGAGGGTATGTAGGTCTGGTATTTTTATTGTTGTCTTGAGGCCTGGCCACAGTTGTAGTGGGTTTTCAACTTTTGTCTTGACTCTCTCAAGGGCCAGCCCTACCTGACTGCCTACAATATTTTTATCTAACTTAGCTGTCTATAATAGTACCACTGCCCAGTCATCCGTGGGGCCACCTGGGACCGCAGGTACCTGACTATGAAAGTCAAAGATGAGTAGTTTCAAGGCCAAGAATCCACAGAGGCAGGACTTCAACAGAGGGCCTGTGTTAGCTGCGAGTAACAGAAACCCACCCGTGGTAGCTCAGGCCAAGCACCTACTCAGAAATATTTTTGACATCTGCATGTAAAGCAGCTTAGTAAGGATAAATATGAGAAGGAGTTATAGAAATAAAGTGGAACTAGACGCCAGGAAAATGAGGCCTTGAACGGTGGGAAGGTGCCAAAAGTAAGCTTTGCCTAGTTCACATTTCCCCCACAAAGAGTCCTGACTCGATTAGAAAATTACTCTTTCCAAGTGGCTTATTCCTCTAGCCCAGAGTTTTTAAATCACGGTTTGCCAGTCGTTGATAGGATAAAATATCAATTTAGTGAGTAGCAACCAGATAAGTGTTTTTCCCCCCAAATGCTAAATGAATAAAATAAAATAAATAGATCAAAAACAGCATACAGTAAGTCTGAGTGGGGTTTTTTTGTAAGACTCTTGTTTCAGCTGTGTGTGGGTGTGTGTGTGTATGCACACACGTGAGCACACACACACTCACACACACACGTACACCATGGACTGAAGGATTCTTGGTTTTTGTTTTAATTTCTTATTTTGGGTCATAAAAAGTTAAAGGTTTTGAAAACGCTGCTCAAATGCCAAGTCCTACCTACTGCAGGCAAAGCAGCCATGTCAGAGAAGTGAACTGGGTAGCTCGAGAAAGCCTGGTTAAGGAGCAACTGTCCCCACTTCTCTGGGTTCAGGTCTCTCCCCAGTAACAGCACCGAGAGCATAAATCTGAAGAGAATCTTTGTGTTCTTGCTTGTTTGGGAAGGGTCATTTTGGGCAAGACATGTTAGTGTTATGAAAGAATAAATAGCTCATTGATTTGCTTGTACTTTCTAGGCTCATGAGTTAGACTGAGCTAGCAGTTCCCTACCCCTCCCCATCAGACTCCTGAGACCGCAGTGAATCTGCTTTGTCTCCTGGAGGATTTACGTATTTTGACCCCAGAGATCACTGACCTTGACCTTGGCATCAACGCTGTGGCTGTGATCTGGTACAAAGACAAACATGCTAGAAGGAATAGAAACAAAGTTCACTTCACTGGTATCCTTGGTGGTTTCACCTCTCATAACCTCATGTTTTGCTTATTTATAAAAGAACGACAATGGTTGCTCCTACTGTACAGGATTGTCATAAACATTTAAAAAGTGCAGTTAACATTGAATTGTTTGATCAACCTTGCATGCCTGTACCTGCTAATCTACAGATGAGCAACTACTTTAAAAATAACAGTATGTAGTACAACAGCCATTGTTAATTTCCTATCACCTTTTTTGGAATTCTGTGTTGTTTTTATTGTTTTTGTGTTGTTTTGTTTCTGTCTTTGTTTTTGTTCTTTTCTCTTCAAAATAAAACAAAATAAAAGTAAGGAAGTACAACAGTACCTCAGTTCACGAATGCTTCTGTTTGCAAACAATTCAGTTCTCAAGCAAAAGCATTTGACAAAAGTTTGCTTCTGTTCACAGACTCCATATTGGATGACAAACACAGCTCTCTTCCCCGAAGTCATAAAACACATTAAGTTCGTGAACATGGTACCACTGTGTAACCATAGAACTGAGCCTCCTGCTTGGCATAGAGAAAGGGTGCATAGATTTATTTAAAAAGATCCTCAGTTATTACAGGGACGTGACTTTCCCACAATTCAGCCATGAGTGAGCCACTAGGAAAATTACTCTATTTCCTCCATCCTGGCATCAGCAGGAAGAAACTTTATAACATGGGCATTAATCTGAATTCAACGAACATGAGGAAAGAAGGCTATATGTTTTGAGGATCCTGTCATACACTGAAATCACCACTCCCATGTTTAATAGCCCTTACTTGAGCTCTATAGTACGTCTAGGGCAGTGGCGGCAAACTCATGGCACATGTGCTGCAGTGGGCTGTTAACACTCAAAGCTCTGAAAGGTTCGCCATCACTGATCTAGGGTGTTTGGGAAACTGTGGGAGGAGGCTGCTCTCCTTCCTGGGAAGGTACAGTATTTCTTCAGCTAGACCAGAGATTCTTCAGATGTGCAAAGATTTGTTCCTTTAAGCAGTATAATCACACTGGGGCATGTTGAGTGTTACAAAGACTTTCTAAGGGCTGCACCAGCCCAGGCAGTATAGTCAGACCTCGAATGCTTCTTTTCACAAACAGTTCAGTTCTCAAACAAAAGTGTTGGACCAAATTTTGCTTCCATTCACAAACTCTGCATGAGGTGACAAACACAGCCATGGCCACCTTCCCCACACAAGCAAGGGCCTCTTCCCCCAAATCGTAAAGCAGATTAGGTTTGTGAACCGAGGTACCACTGTGTTAAGAAACAGCTTTCTAAATCCTCATCGTCCCCAAGTATGGCACTCTTTCCCAAAACTGATGAACCTGAGAACATGCCTGCCAGGCAAGGCTCTTGGGGTTCCCCTAGAATACTTCCTCTTTTACTATTGCTCTCTTCTACTTCATAAAAAAAAGAAAGCCTACTCATCCCTCACCATGAAGTGAATCCATTCACCCAGGGTTTAGACTCCATAGTGCCAACCAAAGAGGCCTGGAAACATCTTGGCACTTTATGAGACTATCATGACTAGCATTTATGACTAATCATCTTGCAAAACAGGTGGTATCAAGTTCTCTGCTTTCAAAACATTGAAAGGACACTCACATAGAGTTAGCTGTTAATCAAAAATAAGTGGTTTATGTCATACAAATCATATCATTCAAAGAATGACAAACACAGCTGTACCAAAATAGTGTCTAGTTCCCACCAACTTATAAGAGTACAATTCTTTAGTCCTCATGGTACAGAAATGAAAAACAGAAATAAAAGGGATGCAGAATTCAAAACATTGTTTTTCTCTGAAGTTTTCATTAGCATGTATTTGCAGTACACAGTGCACACCTTCACCGTGGGGGAATTGGTACATACCCAAACTGCCTTGTGATCCTTTTTACTCCCTTCCCTTCTTCTCTCTTGTACATCCTTATACCTGTTCCCCATCCTTTGAAAGAACCAAATCTTGGGTTCACTGATTCTTTGTTTTTTTCTAGTCTGTTTCATTAATTTCCACTCTGATCATTATAATTTCTTTCCTTCTACTAGTTTCAGATTTGGATTGTTCTTGGCTTTCTAGGACTTTGAAGTACGTCACTACGTGATTTATTTAGAATCCTCTATTCTTTTTATGTGCATATAAAGGGTATTATACTTCATACCCTCCCTCTTAGAACTGCTTTCATTGTGTTTCATAGGCTTTGGTGTGTTGTGATTCCATTGTCATCTGATTCCAGGAACTTCTTTCCTCCTTTATTTCTTCTGTAATCCACTGATTATCCAACAACGTATCATTTACTCTGCCTATTTTTGCGTAATTTCTTAGCTTCTTTAGATGTTGATTCCTAGCTTCATTATGCTGCAATCTGATAGTATGCAGGGGATTTTTCAATTTTTTCTATTTTTAAGCATGCTTTATGGTCTAAGTCATGGTCTATTATGAGAAAATTTCCATAAACCATTGAGAAAAATGTGTATTTGTTGTTGTTTGATAAAACACTCTGTAGATATTTGTTAAGCTGATTTGTTCAATGGTGTAGTTTGACTCTGATTTTTTTTCTTGAATTTTTAATCTAGTTGACATGCCATAACATTTTACATTTTAATCATGTATGTGTTGATATTAATAGAAATTAGACCTCAAGTGGAAGAAAACTGAGTATAAATTTCAGTCACTAGAAAGTTAATTTCATTAGCTGTACATATTTCGTTGCAAGGCATATATGTATAATAAACATATATGTATAATAAACAAAGAGCTGTAAAATAAACAAATGTAGCATTAAGATAAACTTCTCTAGGGAAAGTAGAATGAAAAGTGAGGTTCAAGAAATAAAAAGATACTGTGTAAAGCTCTGATCATTAGATAAGAATTTTTGTATGTATTTTTCAGTGAAGGATGGAGTATATAAAAGACAGTTTCTTTGATATTTAGAGACCATTGGCAAATATGTAAGAGTGAAATAATCATTTAACTAAAAATATAAATGTATATAAAATCTCCAAATTTGTGCATTTTCCAATATAGAAATGTATGAAAAATTCTAAAATTCTCTCTCTCCTCCCCCTCCCCCTCCTTCTTCCCTCTCCCTCCCCCCAACAGTCAATTTAATATATAAAAGGAAGCATACTGCATTGTAATTCCTTTAGGAGGGATGTAAGGAAAAAAGTTGCAGACCAGCATCTAAGAGTTTCACAGGTGCTCCTAAGGGCGGCAGGGCAGATCTGGAGTCTCGGCGAGGGTTTCCATAAATGAAGCAGGAGTAAAGAAAGGGAATGCTTTCACCTGAAGACCCATTGCATAAACCTGGGAAATAGTTTCAAGTAGTTTCTTTTATCTCCATGTATCACTTCATATTAAATGTAATGAAAAGAGAATTTGTTTCAGAAGAATAGAAAAAACACGGGGCAGAATGGCTAGAGAATACAGAAGAGACAGACAGAAGGGCTGTGGCTTTTGAAAAACCAGGTTGCAAATATCTGACTGAAAGCAAATCATCTAAGGATGGCAGGGAAAGTGACTACAGCAGATTACAGAGGCTCAGAGAGGCCAGGGAAGTTGCAGAGGAGCTGGCCTGTGCAGAGGACCCAAGGAAGACACAGCAGCACTCAGAACACGAGATCTAAAGCAACCTGTAGGCTTGGGCTGAGGTGGGAGAGGGAAGAGATATAGCCAGGAATGGGCTGAAGGTTATAGAAGTACTTCAAGCCAACAAAAAGACCCAACAGAGGCAGTAATAACTACTTCAGCAGTGGAGAAAGGAGGCAGCATGACTTCCATTGAAATGACCTTCAGTATAAAAGAGGAAGACAAAAACACAAAGGAATAGTGGAAGAGAGGCAAGGCAGGAGTGAAAAGCTAACTGTATGTTCAAACCTCTTGGCCCCGAGAAAGCATTTGGTAAAATAATTTTCTGATGGAGCTCCATCTCTGCTTTCAGTGTCCTTTTCCCCTCAGGTAAAGCAGAGAATAGAGAAATCTGGAATCGAAAGAACAATGTCCTAAAATTGAAGAGGGAAAATCTCCTGGGAATTAGAAATTCCTAACCTGATCTTCCTCTCCAGGCTTGTTTAACAGACGACTGGAAAGTAATCCCAAAATATCTATTTCAGTGCCTGGATTTTCTAAAACTAAGACTAAGACTAAAGCTACAATTTCTCACTTTATGTACAGTCATGATGAAAAAGATGGTAAAATCATATGATAAAGAAGATGGTAAGATATTGTCACTGGTAACATAATTATCTCACATAGCAAGAGTCAACCAGAGAAAACAGAAACTATTTAAACCTGTAGACATCTAAAGCAGAGAATAGCAATTCTTTCAATGTTATCACACTGAGAAGCCAATCAGGGAACAGGGAAATAATTCAGCAATTTTAATAGCCACCACTACACAAGAGGTAAAAAGGGTAGACGGGGAATGTGAAGGCCAGGGTATAGGCACCAAGGGACACTGGAACACAGTGAGACTGCCCAGTAGCAGCTGAATCCAGGGAAGAGATGCATGTGCTCCTGGAGTAGCCACTAGGATATAGATATGGGAGAGAAATAGCCTTATTTATCACTCCTACCCACCCTCCAGACTTCTCATCCTACTTCCTTTCGGCTGTCAGGAGCCTCGTATACACAGTCTGCAAGTCTCCTTTCTTGCAATACAAAGCAGAAAAGAAAAAGTGAGGGGTGAATCTAAAGGTAGATGCCAGAGCCACATAGCACTGGAATTTTTTTGTGGGAGAGCGGACAGGATCTCTCTGAGTTGCTAAACTGTCCTGGCAGTGCTCAAACTTGTGATCCTTCTACCTCAACCTACCAGACTGCTGGAATAAGAGATATGTGCAACCATACCTGATTCAAGCAGCTGAATTTATAACAGATTAAACAGCTGATAGTTGTAGAGTTAGGGCCAACAAATAGGGACTGAAGGCCTCAGGCTAATTTCGAGATAACCTCTACTTCATAAAATGTCTGTTATTCCAACTGGAGATAGTAGTCAACCATCTAGGCATCAGATCATACATTTGGCAAATTAATCTTTTGACCTTAGTTTACATTACTACGCTGTGTTGGGTCCAAAAGTGCTCAACTCACAGGAACTAATAGTTATACTATACTTTGTGATGCTTAGTTAATAACTGTGATATAAGCATGTTACACTGTCACTTTTTTAAAAAGTTAAAAACAAAATGTATCCAAAGATTAATATCTGAAAATGAGTCTGAAAACTATTTCCTATGAAAGAAGTAGGGATGTTTTACTTAAAATCAAAAAGAACATATGGAGTCTTTCTAGATATCTTCAAGTAACTGACAAGTTGCCTTTAATAAGGAAGAGTTAATAATTGCTAACACTGATTGAGTATTCACTATGTTCTAGGTATCTATTTAATCATCCTAACACCCTTAAGGAGAAATAGTATTGTACTAATTTTATTGAGAGAACTGAGGATTTGAGAGGGCAGGTAATAGCCCTTGGCCAACATATGGTCAAACCTTTCAGATTTTGATGATCTTATTCTTAATTACTATACTTACTATATGTTGTTTTACTAAACCAAACAGGTACCAATGAGCTGAAGCTATAAAGAAGCTAGCATAAAGGTAATCTGCCCAACAAATGTTGAATTATTTAATCACGGCAAATCCTGCTTCTGGAGGAAGCCAGAGCTTCCATTCATAGATGTCTTTAACCAAAAGTTACTTATATGCTTATTAGTAGTACCAAAAATAAATAAATATTACTCAAGATAAAAGCAATATTTCATAATGATAAAAGAGTCAGTTATACAAGGGTATACAAAAATCCTAAATGTATATGCACCTAATAACATATTTGAAAATATTAAAAACTGGCATACTGGAAATGAAAATAGATAAATCTACAGTCATATCTATGCTTTCAGCTTATCTCTGTTGTAAATGATAGAACAAGCAAATAAAACACTGTAGCAAATTTGAACAATTGGCCATCTCGATGTGATTTATGTGTATAGAATTTAAAGCAAACAACTGCAGAATACACATTATTTTTAGGTCTATGTGGAATATTCATTGAGATCATATTCTAGCAGAGTTGCTGAAAAAGGGTGCTCTTCTTGAGTGGGAAGTTGGAAAGCTTGAATTTAAGATCACTTCCATCTCTGACATTCTAAAATTTACTCATCTTTTCTGAAGAATATCCCGCCTCAGCCCAGCTTCCCCATTGCATGTTATTGATATAATACCTCTTCATCTCTTTCCCAAACGTAAAAGAGGCTATGGCAGTGTTGTGGGTTGTATCTAAAAGTCTAAGGGTTTGCCTTAAATCTCAAGGGAGAATTTGGACTTAAACTTTTCAGCAAGGCTAAATTGTTAAGACTTTGGCAACTCTTAGAGATGGACTAAATGCTTTTACATAAAGAGATATACATGAGTCTTTAGGGGGTCAGGGGCAGAAAGTTATAGCTTGTGTCTAAATGTCCCCCCAAAGCCTCACGCAGTCATAGTTGGGACTTCTGTAGAGGTGGCTGGATCTAGAGTGTGTGATGCCAAGATTGATTAATGGTACAATGCTAAGATCAAGAGCACTAAGATTAAGAGTGTGGCTGCTACCTGCCCTAAGTAGCCTAGATAAGATACAAGAGGTAAAAAGAGCTGTGGTCATCACTCACTTGCTTTTGCTACCTTCTGCCCACCATGAACTGCTTCTCCTCTGTGATGCCTGTCTGTGTGTCACCCTGCCTTGGAACCAGCTGAATATGGACTAAAATCTCTACAAACGGTGACCTAAATAAACCTTTTCCCCATTTAACTTTGAGTGTCTGATATCTTGTCTCAGCAATGAGAAAAATGTAACTAAGATGGGCAGCAATTTTGGGGTTGTAAAAATGTGGAGTATAGGCTCCTGTCCTTTCTCCAAATGTTGCCAATGTTTTTAGCTAAACATTTCTCCATTTGCTCCTTCATATATGCATCCCAAGTCAAAGCCTCCGCCATGCTCTTGATTTCTGGCCCTTTTCTCTCTAAAATCACCTCTCAACTCCGTCATCCAGATCCACTACTCGTCCTGCCTTGGCCAGACCTTCACCCCTAACACACTGGTTCAATGAATCCATTAAAATGAATCCATTTTAATGTTGTTCCCCAAAGACCCAAGTGTTTACAGAAATAACATAAATATGGCAGAGTTAAATAATTATGAGGACATCAAGCTAAGGGAAAATAAATGTAGACAAATAGCCTAAAATAAAAGATAAAATGAATTCTCAAAATGCACATTTCTGGTACTGTTCAAGCTAAAGCTGGGCTAAATTTTGGCTCTACTAAAGACAGGTGAATCTATGGAGGCCAAGTCCTTCAATTCACTGTTTTAGAACCTGATTCTTCTTGTGTTCTACTAGTTCTAGGTATGACTAGTTCCTTAGGGGGAATGTATCCCTCTTTCTGTTCGTGTTGCTCCATCTTCCAGACTTCCCCAATTACATAAAATATCATACTGTGATGGTGTTTCCAAGGCTATAGAAGTGAAGGGTATGAGTTTAAGTTCCTTCACCCACCCTAGATTCCTGCTGTTTCCCTATCTACAGAGTAAGAATATGAAGGCTGGGACTAAATATTAGAGTCACTCCTAAGTTTTTGACTAAATGAGCAATACACACAAGAATGGGAAATGGACACCATGTGTACCATGTATTAAGTTAATAGGTAGATGAGCACATGCTTCCCCAGCTCCTCCTTTATGGTGTCTCTGACAATCTAAGCAACAGAGCATGTTTTAGAATGGAAAATCTCTAGTTTCTTGCTCCCTCATCTTAATCTAAGAATCCAGATTGGCAGATCAGACTTGCTTCACAAGTAAGGACATCTACCCCAGGGTTGAGGATGTAGTTCAGTGGCAGAGTGCTTGTCTAGCATGTCCCAGGAGTCAATCTCCAGCATCACAAAAACAAACAAATGGAAATCTGCCCCATCTATGCAGGCACAGGCAGAGGCTGGTATACTGTAAACTAGGAAGATACCACAGATTTGTGAGGCACTAGCAGGCCCAGTTGGATATGCTCAGCACAGGAGACAAACTTAAAAGAAGGTTGAGTTAGGATCAGTGCTTTGGACCATCGCTAAGAGCTCTTAATTCCATGGGCATCTTTGGTATGACTAATCAAAATAGCAAGTTATTACACGGAGTTATACAATAAGGAGGTGGGCATGAACATTCCTTCCTCCTCTGCAGTATTCCAAGGACATGGCATGAAGTTCAACACATAGAAAAGATTAAGTAAATCATACATATTTCATGTTTTCCTTACAGTTATCACTTTAATAAGGAATCACCATCCACAAAATTTGTCCATGTATACCCCTAACAATTTAAGAAAAAAATGCTTCATCACAGCTGTGCTTTCACTTTAAGGTTACTATTACCTGAAGACTATTGAAATTCTATTTCTTTTTTTATTAGCACATGGTTGGGACACACAGTGGTCACATTCATCTTGGGAGTTTGATACATATACATTTCACATGAAATTCTATTCCATACTCATGAAGAAGTATTCAGTAGCTAATAAAATATCAGTAGTTTGTTTTCCACACTCCCTCACATCTACAAAGGTGTTAACATTTGTTTACTTTCAGGTGTGATCTAAAATTGTTAAATGGTTTGTCCTTGCAGTTTTCTATCATCCTTTACTATCTTAGATTACACTTTTCCAGAAGGTAGGGAATCCTATGTGTTTAATTCACTCAGCATACACAACATAGACGTGCGTGCACGCATGTGTGTGTGTTAAGGGAACACATAATGAATATACGCAAGTCCTTACTATGTATAGACATTACCTATTTCCTTATTTTTCTCCTAATCGCAAAGAAAACAGACAAAAGGAGAAACTGGAAAGCAAATTTTCTACTAGAGATGTTTGAAAAGCATTGCATAAAGAGAGACATAGGGGTTACCTAGTAATTTTGTTTATCTACCTCCTTAGCCCTCTCCATTCCCCAATTGTGGGATAATTCACAGTAGTGTAAGGAGCTGGAGAGTATGGTCACTTAGAGTTGATATCTAAAATCACAGTCTCTCAATGTTCCAATATTGTCTCCACCACTTATTATGCTTATGATAATACAGAACACAACACTCAACTTCTATTTTTAATTAACTCCCCAAATTGGGAAAATCAACAATGGCATCTTTGCTATAAGATTTAAATCATTCAATATATGTAAAATCATATGATCTCTGGGACATAGAAAGTATTTTACAGGTGAAAAACATTATTTAACATTAAGTGATGATTTTATTCATTTCACATGGCATTGGATACAGACCTCTACAGGATCATAAAAGAAAAATATTTATTTTTCTTCCTCTATTGTCCAGGTTCCTACAAGAAAGTAGACCCTGGCATACTAAAGGTTCCTGGAAGAACAGATGAATTGGAGCTCACTTGTCAGGACAAAGATTAGCCCTTGGCAGAAATATCCTGGCCAAACGTCAGTGTTCCTGCCAGCACCCACCCTACCAGGACACCCAAAGACCTCTACTGGATCACCAGTGTGCTGCACTCGAAGCAACCTGGCAGAAACTTTGCAGTGTGTTTGTAATGCTGATGAGAAGGAACTTATTTCAACCACCCTTGACCCTTAAGATAAGTGTGGCCCCCACCTCCTAGTTCAAAGTGATTTGAGGAAAGTGTAATAAACTATCTACAAAGGTTTGATCAGAATTTTAAAAAGCTGCAAAAGATAGCACAGGCAACTGGGACTTTATTACTAAGGGAACAATAACTATGGTTTGGAGGGGTTATTGGAGCCAGAAGGCAACTATGTGGACAGCACCACTTAGGAGCTCTATCCTTCAGAAGAGGGAATCTGGGTGAATGATGCCTCCGCCTCACTCTCTCCCAGCCTCTCACCCCCTGGTGATGCCTCTGGTTGGCTGAACACGGCTGGAAGTCAGAGAACAAAGGAATCCAGTGATGTCTTCAATTAAGGTCAGTGTCTCAGGCCTCAGGGCAAAATTTGAAGCATGGAAAATGGACTTGGAGAACAGAAACCATCCCCAACAACAGCTAACCACTGTGACTCATGTACAGTGCCAAAAGTGAGTAGGATGAATATTATTTTGCTGAGTTTACTGCCAGTCAACCAGTGATGGGTATTTCCAAGAAAGTTGACCTCTTAGAAAATTCTTCAGAGCCTTGAGTGGCTATACTAGGTCTTTTTGGAGGTAGATCCCATATTTTGAAAACATTATCAAAATTGCAAGCAATTTGCAGAGACCAAAAACATTTTTTTTGCCAAGTAAGAACATTTATTTTCCAACTAAAAATGACAGAGACACTTGTGTGTCCCTGCCAGGAGACCCACCAGGCTGAGCTCCATCTAGAATCAAGATCATTTCATAAGAGACAGTAATTTTATCACCACACATATAGTTTTCCTATTGCTCTTATATCAAATTATCACAAACTTAGTGATTTAAAACAACACAAACATTATCTTGTACTTCTGGAGGCTGAGGTTTGAATAATTTTCACAGGGCTCTAGCCAAGATGTCACAGGATTGCAGAAATTCTAAGGGTATATTCCATTTTCTTGCCTTTCTCAGCTTCTAGAAGCTACCTACAGTCCTTGGCTTGTGAACCCTTACTCCGTCTTCAAAGTGAGCAATCACATCACAGCCCTCTGTTTCTGTCATCTCATCTTTTTCTGTCTCTGCCTTCCTCTTGCACCTTCTAGATACCCTTGTAATTGTATTATGTTCCCCCAACCCTGGAATAATTTAGGATAATCTGCCCATCTCCGTAGCATAATACATCCACAGAACTCCTTTTGCCATGTAAAGTATGTGCAGGCTCCAGGCTTTAGGACATGGATATCCTTGGGAGGAGTAAAATATCTACCTTAACAAGAAAGGATATAGTCTCAGAATAAAGGCTATCCTCTAGTACTGATTAAATTTGACTTTATAAAAAACTCACTACCTTGTTATTATACTCATATTTTTTCCCTTTGTCCTAGTTAGGCAAGACGGAGCCTATGATAAAGACTTTGTGATATGTAGGTATTTAATTGGTGACCCCAGGGAACAGGAGTGGGAAGTGTAGGAAAGTAAGACGGGAAAGAAGGCAAAGCAAATGTAAAAGTGCATTATGAAAGCTGTCAGTGTGGGTAGATGGAATATGAGTCAAGTATCTGGTCTATTCCAAAGGAAAAGAAAAAGCTTTTTTTTTGTGAATTGCTACTAACCCACAGACCAGACTGATTACTCTCAAGTGACTAAATTTCCCTCCATTACTTTCCTAATATTTTTAATGAAAAAAAATTCTTCCCTGACATTTTTCAGAGGCAGCTGCGGCCTTGACATCCCTTCCTTCTGTCCATTTCCCCACCTGTGTGCACATAATTGCCCGATTCAGCACTAAAGTTAACCCAGCTGCTTCCTAACTAAATTATTATAATAAGACGCAAGGAAGTAAAGAGAAGAATCACATTAAAGATTTTGATAGCAATGAAGACACTAAACATACACCAATTTCAGGATCAATTTGGGGAAAATAATGTATCAGACAAGTTAGTACTTCAACATTATCTATGTTTTTCTAAAAGTCACAGTTAAGACTTGCTACCTCATAAAATAATGAACTGTAACTAATTCAGGCTAAAGCATTAAAGGTTTAAATATTACGAGTCCTGGGAACTTTATTTTTCCTGGAATTGTTTTCTCAGCTGTCCTTGATTATATGGAATTTCCTGCCTGGTTAAGTGTAAGCCAGCGCTTTGGATGAAATGTGACTTTCTAGAAGGATGCTTTTATAAGGACTTCTGCAGAGAAATAGGACTCTGCCTAAGAGGAATTTGGAAACAACCTAACTCCAGCCTTTGGACCACTGATTATGTCTGTTTTTTCCTTCAGGGTAGAGCAGTGCAAGGGCAGAATTATTCCCCTGGAAACCTTCATGTTGTGAGGAGTTAAGAATGAAGGTAAATGGCCACTTTCTCGTGACAGCCAATATGGCTGACCAAATAGTAACAACTGCGGGAAGAGCCTGAGTTGGAACTCAGGGTCTCCTTAGCCGGGTGCAGTGGTACACACCTGAGGGAGCCTGAGGCAAGAAGAGTGCAAGCTAAAGTCCTGCCGGGGCAGCTTAGTGACTTAGGGAGACGCTGTCTCAAAAAAAAGGGATGGGTGTGTAGTTCAGGGAGAAAGCCCTGGATTTAATCATCCACCGCACTGTAAAAACAAAACAGGACAAATCTCTGCATTTCCTAGGGCAGTGATGGCAAAACTTATAGAGACTGAGTACACAAACTGCAACCCAAAACCCACTTATTTATCGCAAAGAGCCAACTCTGCAATTAAACCTGAATACTGAGGCTTTAGTTTAGAAAAAAAAACAACTATTATGCAATGCTCAGTTGCTGGGGCAATTTGGCTTAATGCCAACGGAGACGGCTCTGTGTGCCGCTGCAGCAGGCGTGCTATAGCTTCACCGCCACTGTCCTGGGGTATCACTCATGAATCAACCAATAGGGAGATGGGGACATCTCTGTACAGCTGAAGACACTCAGCCTGGCTTACCCCTCCTTCCCAGCTTTCTGTTCATCCTAACTTTTCCATGGCATGGGTGCTTCCTTCTGGGCTCCTTCCTCACCACATGCTGTCAGAACTTGCACTTTTCCCACTGCCATCCCATCTTTGTGCTCTCCATTTCTTCCACCCAAAATATCACTCTCCTTCTCTATCAGCATAAGCCCCACCCTCTTTCCAAGTAGATCAGACAACTCCAAGTTATAAGGGAGTCTTTTCCTCTTTTTTTTTTTTTTTTTTGGTCTTTTTGAGACAGGGTCTCACTATGCAGTTCAGGCTGGCCTTGAGTTCACTTTGTAGCCCAGGCTGGTCTTGAACTCACAAAGATCCTCCTGCCTCAGCCTCCCAAGTGCTGGGATTACAGGCGTGCACCACCACGCCCCTCTGCAATCTTAAAATTGTACCTTTTGCTTGTTTACCTTGTGACTGTGCTTGTCTTTTTTCTTTTATTGCTACTTTACTGTTCACGCAGGTCTTCTTTATATCCAGACAAAAGCAAAAGCAGAGCCTTTTGTCCACAAGAAGTGCTCAATAAATGCTGGACTGATGGATTGGAAACTTGATCTTGAATAATCCCCATCCCGTGATCTCAACTGCCAAACTGCCAGATATGTGGTCAGATTACAGATGCCAAATGATATCCCGGTTTGTGAGGGGAAAAAAAACCACCCGATAGAATAACCAAAGTTGCACATTCTCTCACAGGTTTTTTGCTTCCATTTGTGAAAGGAATTTTCAGGTTGTCATAGGACTATTTCCTCTACTCATTCTCATAAATTGAGCTGTTCTCTGATGACTGCTGTGAACCACCACAAGCTTCTCCAGACGTCAGTGAATAAAACAAACAGAAATGAGAGTTTGGAGGGTTGGAGGTGCACCAGTGATTCTAGAATGGATGACAGAACACTCTAACTTTCAGTCAGGAGTTAGGCAGCAACTAAGTCACTTTTCTTTGGAAATAAAGTTTCTTTTGGTTAGTCAGTTGGTATTGCGTTATGAAATATAGCTGGACAAGAGCAAAGGAAATAACTACAAAAATACTCCTGGGGAGCTGGCAGAAAAGTGCAGCCCTCTTATGACACATGGAAGTGACTCCAGGCAGTGATTGTAAACATGGGCTCTGAAGTCAGACAGACACAAATTCCAAATGTTCTCTCTGCTATCTACTTCTCTGAGAATTCAAACGTACTATTTATCCATCCTAGAACTCAATCTCTCAGGTATAGAATAAGGGCAAATAATGGTGGCTCCCTCAAAATGTCATTGTGATGAGTACTGAAATATGCTTTTAAAGGGATTAGCACTCAGGAAGAATGAAAAGAAAACATACAGCATCTCGGGCGAAATACATGGCCTCCTTATGAGTTCAGGCATTGTGGTTAAGATAAGATGAACATTTTCCCCATTGCACCATCATATTGTTAAAGAGCATGCAATTATAAAACAATTTAGAAGAATATGTGCTAGGAAACAGGCTCAACATTCATAATGAAGAGACCCCAACATACAATGACTCAAACAAGAAGGAAACATATTTCTTACCAAGGAATATTCAGAGATTGAAGGTGCTTCAGAGCAGCTAAGGTCATTCAGTGATCCAGATTATTTCTATTTTGCTGCTTTATCATTCTCCAGGACATTGTCCCTCTTGAACTATCAAAGCTGAGTCATTGCCAAATCTGTACTTCTGCCCTCAGAAAGAAGAGTGGTGGGACAGGTTTCAGAAGACTCAATCTTTTTGTGTGAACCTAGTAGACATGACTAGGGGCACATAACTGTGGGAATGGGGTGGGTGTGCTGGAAGTACAACCTTTGAGAAGCCATGTGTCCAGCTAACACCCTAATACTAAGGAAGAAAGGAGAGAACGGGTTAAAGGTAACAGCAGTTTCCTACAAGGTAACCAGCAACTAGAAGGATCAGCCAGGTGGATTAAACAGTCAATTCAGCCCAACGATGTTTATTGACTGACACCTTTCAGGTAGCTGGTGTTGGCGCTATAAAGGATTTAGAGGTGATATAGAGAAGACCTATAAATACTTATAGTCTAGGCAGACGATGTCCTGTTGGATGTTCAATTCAGAAAGTCTTTAGGGTTGAGTGGAGTATCTGCATGTAGAAGGGAAG